CAGAAAAGAATTTTCAACAATTTTTTTCACCTCACATGTGTTTACTACTGTGATAAATGCTGACAGAGATTCATAGATATAGGAGGGGCTTCCAATTAAGTTTAGACAAGCACATAAATAATTAACAGCAGAAGATACTGGGTAATTATGAGTCATGTGAATATTGCAAAGGTTATGGGGAGGAGGAGGAGGAGAGTTTATAGAAGGGAAGGCTCACTTTACATTTGAAATATCAGGGAAGACTTCATGGGGGAGATGGCATTTGAGCCTTAAGGATATCAACAGTTGAAGTAGAGCCAGAGGAGGGAATACCAGGAAGAGAGAGGTGCACAAGTGGAAGAACAGGAGTAAGACAGAAAAGTCAAAATTAGGGGCGCCTGGGTTGCTCAGTTGGTTAAGTGTCAGACTCTTGATTTCAGCTCAGATCATGATCTCACGGTTCATGAGTTCAAGCCCTGCATCAGGCTCTACATTGACAATGTAGAGCCTGCTTGAGATTCTCTCTCTCCCTCTCTCGCTGCCCCTTACCTGCCCTTTCTCTCTCTCTCAATAGATGATAGATAGATAGATAGATAGATAGATAGATAGATAGATAGACAGACAGATAGACAGATAGATAAGTAAACTAACTGAGTAACTAAAAAAAGGAAAGTCAACATTAACAAGCGTGCTGGGGTGGAGAGCCTAGAGGCTAGGTAAGTTCACTTTTAAATATACAGTACTTGAAAACCAGCAAGCATTCATGAGGGGATGTCCAACAGGCAGTTGGAGATGTGACTTTAAATTCCAGGGGCGCCTGGGTGGCTTAGTTGGTTAAGCGTCCGACTTTCGCTTAGGTCATGATCTCGCGGTTCGTGGGTTCGAGCCCCGCGTCAGGCTCTGTGCTGACTGCCAGCTCGGAGCCTGGAGCCTATTTCAGAGTCTATCTCCCTCTCTCTCTGACCCTCCCCTGCTCACGCTGTCTCTCTCTCTCTCTCCTAGAAATAAATAAAAATATTTTTTAAAAAATACTTTAAATTTCAAAATTGGAGGAGTGCATGGGTGGCTCAGTCAGTTAAGCCTCTCACTTCAGCACAGGTCATGATCTCACGGTTTGTGGGTTTAAGCCTCTCATCGGGCTCTGTGTTGACAACTCAGAGCCTGAAGCCTGCTTCAGATTCTGTGTCTCCCTCTCTTTCTGCCCCTCTCCTGCTCATATTCTGTCTCTCACTCTCTTTCTCAAAAATAAATAAACATGAAAAAAAATTTTAAGTTGGAAATTGGAAATAAGGATTTGAGAATCATCAGCATAGATCAGGTCTTTTGTTATATGCCCCAGAGCAACTTGTACTCTTCCTTTGGAGCACTTGTCACAATTATAATTAATTGTTCTTTAATCTCTCTCTCTCTCTTGCTAGAATTCCAGTCCCATGGAGTAGAGTCCACATTTGCCCTATTCCTAACACTAGTCCAGTGCCTTGCTCTCAGAAATATTTGGTGAATGAATAAAAAAGTTGATACTTCTAATAGCCACCATTTACTGAGCATACACATGGCAGGCACTGTATACCCACTTTGTGTATATGATCTCATTTAAACCTTGCAGAAGTCTCATGAGAGACAGGTCAAGGTTTCTCAGAACTAAATTCAATGGGTCTGGGGTAAGGCCCAAGAATGTGAATTTAAGTTCCCAGGGACTTCTAATTAGCAGTCAAGTTTGGGGACTACTCAGGTAGTCTATATTCAGGTAGTCTTCATCTATATGACAGATAAGAGAGGTGCTTGGGTGGCTCAGTTGGTTAAGCGTCTGATTTTGGCTCAGGTCATGATTTCACAGTTTGTGAGCCTGAGCCCTGGATTAGGCTCTCTGCTGTCTGCACATAGCCTGCTTTGGATCCTGTCTCCCTCCCATCTCCCTCTGCTCCTTCCCACTTTTGTGCATGCTCTTTTCTCTCTCTCTCTCTCAAAAATAAACATTAAAAAATTTTTTACAGATAAAGAAACTAAGTTTAGAAAGTCCAGTGGCTTTCTAAAGCCACTCTACTGAGCCAGCCAACTCAATCTTTCACAACCTTGGGGAGGTACGTTCTAAAGTCCAGAGCCATGATGCAAAACTAGATCTCTTAGGGAGAGAATTTTACCGCATGCCTCCCTTCCTCTATCTAAAGAAGAGTTTATGAGGGGAAAGCAGAAAACCAAACACTGGGTTTGAAACCAAGGAGAGCACTTCCAAATGCCACAGAGAGGCCACAGAAGATGTGGCATGAGGGAGAACCTGGGGATGCCTAACCAATGTATCCACAGTGCCTGAGTCTGGCTTTATAGGAAGATGAAGACACAACCTTTGCATAGGGCAGGGCACTCCCGCAAGAAACCTGGCCAGCTGGAAGGAACTGTGTTTTGAGGCTCAGCCAAGATCACTTCTTGGTAATAGAGCTTTGTGCTAAAAATATTTAAGCCAAACATCTGGGCCTGTAGGGTGGTATGCCAAGAAAGGGGAGGTACTAGTCCCTGGGGGAGTCTCAGTTTAGAATCTAAAATAAGCTAAGATAAGCTGTTTAGAAATTATAAAATGCAGCTCACTCTATATTTTCCAGACCACTACCCCTTTGTTGGATTATTAAGGTCTTTTGCCTTACTTCTGCTTTGTGTGTCTTTTACCTTGGGAGTACTGCAGAATGGAAAGAGAAAGAAAGGTAAAAATCCAACCAGGACATTTTTCTGATTTTTAGTTATTCAGCCCTGAATAACATGGTTTAAATGAAATTAGAACTAGAGCCCAGAAGGAAGATTTTCTAATTATCTGTCGTGTTTCTACTTAGCAACATTCAGGCTGGCTCCTGGTACCACAATCAAGGTTGGCTGTATTCTCTTTGCCAAGAAGCAGCCTGAAGGTCTGTGAAAGGAAATGATGGAGTTTCCTGAAACCCCATTACTAACCCCAAATCATATCCTGTTGGTGGTAGATGAGAAGCAATGACCCCTTATTTGAAAGAGGACAATAATGACAAGAACCCCCTATACCCATACAGCTTACAAAGCACCTTTGCGTACATCAACTCAGTCTTTCACAACCTTGGGGAGGTAGGTTATGTTATCTCTACAGGTTTGGTAAATGGCAGAAGCCACAACTCAAACCCATCACCTCTGATTCTTTGAACTACAACCCAGCCTGCTACTGTGTTACTGGTCAAAACTCCTCAGAAGCCAACTTAGCCTTATGCTGGCTGCATGGAAATTAATGAGACTTCAAGAGCCTCATTGCTCTAAGGAGAATTACGTAGTGAGGAAAGAATGTATGTGTTCTTGCCAGTGACCTTGTGCAGAGTGTTGCAGGTGAGCCTCAAAATGGGGGTAAGAGCTACCCTGAAGAGTGGCCAGAAAGGAAGTAAACTTGTGCAAAAGTCCTAGCACAATGGATAGCAGAGAGTAATCACTCAGTAGTGTTAACTAGCATTCTTACATCCTTCACCTCTTCAGGCATTTCTGAGCCCAACGAACACAGACTTCAGTTCAGGTCTGGGTCTGTGATAAGGAATCAGGGAGACGGGCTGTGGCAGAGCCTGATCATCTTCCATGACATCAAACATAAAGCCAAGAAATATGTTTCAAAGTCCCATAGGACTCCCCTTCTCCCTTCCTTTAGTGGTCTGTCTCAGGTAATATTTCCACCCACGAAGTTAAAACTTTTCTAGAACTACATCCTTGAGATTCAAATCAAGAAAGGCCTTCAGTCTGGAATTCTGGAGTCTACTAAAAAGTTCTTCTTACTTCCTCTTCGAAGCCATAACCACATCCCTACAGATATTATAAGCTAGAAGGTGAGTGCATACTGCAGACCCTACACTGACTCCTCCCAGCCTTCTTCTCTCCAGATCCCATTCTCTGGCTACCCCTCTTCCCACCCCACATCCTGTGCGGTAAAGGAGGCCACCAGGTGGACAGCACCCTTCCTCAATCCTGGAGTTTAATGTTTGTAGAGACCTCTTTTGTCCAAGGAGAGATCTACACAGGAAGGGCGCTCCTAAACCAGATGAGGATTTACACAGCCTGATATCTCTAGCACCTACAGGACTGGATGGTTAAAAGTAAATGAATTAAGAAGTTGGGTGTTATTCAGTGGAGAGTGGTGGGGGCTGTGGTGAACCCATCTCTATTGGGAGCTTGGAGAGGAGATGGGCATACAGGATACCTCCTAGAAAAACCCCAATTCCGGGTACAGGCAAGGAGGGCAGGGTCAAGGGAAGCGACAGAGCTGTGTGGCTTACGGGTGGAAAACCCGTTTATTTATATAAATGTCAGGGGCACTTCAGTTTTGCCCATTGCAGCCATCCCAGCTCTTTGATCTCCGCTTCTTTCTACTATCCGCATCTCGGGCCCATGTTCTTTTTCTATCCCCCCTCTTTTCCGGGGGCGTCACAAGCATTCCGCCCATCCACCCGCCCTGGGCGCTTCCGCGAGGGCTGCAGAGGAACGGCTGATGAGATGCTCTCTGACGTAGACCCCCTGGGAACCCCAAGCTGGCTGAGGGAAGGGACAAAGCCTGAGGGAAGGGACAAAGTCCCCACTCTTAACTGGAAAAACAGTGCCTCACCCTCAGGAGCTCCTGGATAGGGATGGGCTCGCTCACGGGACACCTCCCAGAAAACCCTAACTCCGGGGGGGTTAAAGGGGTCAAGAAGGACAGGGTCAAGGGAAGCGACCGAGCCGGGTGGTCTCCGGATGGGAAAGCCCAGTCGTTTAGGCACCCCTCCGTTCAAGTCACTTCCAAACCAGGCAATTCTTGGGGAGGGGCGCTGCAGACAGGGAGCGGCTCCTGCGCAAATCGCTTTGTCTCCGCGCCCTGGGTCCGCCGTGCGCGCAGCTGCAATTGTCACTGCGCTTCCCCGCCCCCGCTCCTGAATGCCCCCCTTCCGTCTCTCCGCCAGTCCCGGAGCAGGAGCTCCGCCCCCAACGCGCCGCCCCAGCCCCGGCGCCTTAAAACCCGGTGCACACCGCCCTGCCGCGCCCCGTCTGGCGCACCTCTTCTCTCCTCTGAACCTTCAGCCGCATCCGCTCTCCCGGCCCTGGTCCTGGCACCATGAGCTTCGGCTCGGAGCACTACCTGTGCGCCTCCTCCTACCGCAAGGTGTTTGGAGATGGCTCTCGCCTATCCTCGCGCCTCTCCAGCGCCGGGGGCGCGGGCAGCTTCCGCTCGCAGTCGTTGTCCCGCTGCAATGTGGCCTCCTCCGCCGCCTGCTCCTCGGCCTCGTCGCTGGGCCTGGGCCTAGCCTACCGCCGGCCGCCGGCGTCCGACGGGCTGGACCTGAGTCAGGCGGCGGCGCGCACCAATGAGTACAAGATCATCCGCACCAACGAGAAGGAGCAGCTGCAGGGCCTCAACGACCGCTTCGCTGTGTTCATCGAGAAGGTGCACCAGCTGGAGACGCAGAACCGCGCGCTCGAGGCCGAGCTGGCCGCGCTGCGGCAGCGCCACGCCGAACCGTCTCGCGTCGGCGAGCTCTTCCAGCGCGAGCTGCGCGACCTGCGCGCGCAGCTGGAGGAGGCGAGCTCGGCGCGCGCGCAGGCCCTGCTGGAGCGCGACGGGCTGGCCGAGGAGGTGCAGCGGCTTCGGGCGCGCTGTGAGGAGGAGAGCCGAGGGCGCGAAGGCGCGGAGCGCGCCCTGAAGGCGCAGCAGCGCGATGTGGACGGCGCCACGCTCGCCCGCCTGGACCTAGAGAAGAAGGTGGAGTCGCTGCTGGACGAGCTGGCCTTCGTGCGCCAGGTGCACGACGAGGAGGTGGCCGAGCTGCTGGCCACGCTGCAGGCGTCGTCGCAGGCCGCGGCTGAGGTGGACGTGGCTGTGGCCAAACCAGACCTGAGTTCGGCGCTGAGGGAGATCCGCGCCCAGTATGAATCCCTGGCTGCGAAGAACCTCCAGTCAGCCGAAGAGTGGTACAAGTCCAAGTTTGCCAACCTGAACGAGCAGGCAGCGCGCAGCACCGAAGCCATCCGGGCAAGCCGTGAGGAGATTCATGAGTACCGGCGCCAGCTGCAGGCCCGCACCATCGAGATCGAGGGGCTGCGTGGGGCCAATGAGTCCCTGGAGAGGCAGATCCTGGAGCTGGAGGAGCGGCACAGTGCAGAGGTGGCTAGCTACCAGGTAAGAGCTGGAACGCTGCAAAGGGAGGGGCGCCCTGTCCTCTCTGCCACCTACCTGCGCTTTCCCACACAACTGGAGCTCTAGGAACCGAGAGGAGGGGAGCGGAGGGGAGGGAAGAGGAAGAGGCAAACTAAAAGCCCTGGAGTCTATACCATTCATTCTAAAGTCCTGGCCACCCTCTGTCCCTGCCCGAGCCTTTTTAGAAAAATCCCTTAAGCTTATGTTTTTCACAATCCAAAAATCTAATGCTTCCCTGTCCGCAAATGGACATAAACACCCTGGCGACCTGAAGAACAGTTCCCCACCAAAAGTAGGAGTGAACCCATTGCAGGTGGGTTACAGCCTCTCGTGGTTGGCAGTGCTGTCTCGGCTGTCTGGCTTGTTTGGTTGACTTTGAAAAGCTTTCTGTGCGCCCGGGATTGATATTTATGGATTATCGTCTGCCCTAAAGAGAATGCTGGACTGAATTAGGAAGGGTTCTACCCCATTTTCTTTACTTTTGCCTTCAAAACAGTAGAGATTGGGAACCAAGGAGCTGGGTGATTGGGCTAGTTACAACTGCTCTGCTCCCCTCCCCCCCTCCCCCATCACACACACACGCGCACACACACAGTTTCCTTGTGGACCTATCGATGATATTTCTTAAGAAAGCTTCACACCGCATAGCAAACGGGAGTGGTCGGGGCGCTGTCCTCGGTGCTGATCTAGAGTTCTTTCCATCTCAGAAATGCTGTCTCTCCCGTCTCATGTCCCAGTTATGACTCTCTAGGCAATTAACTGCTTTGGACTTTTTTTTTTTTTCCATCTGCAACACCATCACATCAGTCTTAGCTACCTGCAATCAAAGGTCACCTCATGCACAGCATCAATTTTCACTGTCATGGATGGCTTAGCACTTAACAAAAAACACTTAATGTTCTCAGCAGCAGTGAGGTCTCACTTGAAAATTCACATCTCCTTAATAATTTTCCAGCCTAAATGCATGTGATAAATCACAGAGATGGATGATCCTATCTTTGTTATAGGCCACTTATTTTTTCCATCTTAGCATGTCCTCTAAGCTCCTATGAAGGTATTGATTGGATCTTTCTTCCTTTTCTCTCTAAACAAAGGCCACTGCATCTTCAGTCCTACTATACAGGACATTCTGGGCTTATGACCACAAAGGGTACAGAGGCAGTGGGAAAGAAAGGAACCCAAATAGTGTGATTCAATTCAAAGATATAATAAAAGCTCCGTTGGGTAGAATGGTAATAATTTAGAAATTTGCAATAATTCATTCTAGCCAAGATCGAAGTTTACATTTGATGCACTTAATAGGATTTGGGAACATTAATACAATAGAATCAAGAAAGGAGTAAAACCTCAGATTTCTTATTGGTGTGCAAATATTTGTTGTCCATTATAAACTACCCCCATTAGTTAAGGAAGACAGCTTGCTTGGACCATTTGTTTTGGTTAGTTTGGAATTATGGTACAATTCAAGTGAATACTTCTATTCTGCTTCAAAAGCTGTAACTTGAATTTTTCAGTATGTGGCCCAGCCCCTGCACGGCCTGAATTAACCACATTTAGTTAATTGAGACTTCGTGTGTTCTTCTAGAAGCCTCAAAAGATGAGCTAGGTGGTCTTCTGAAGGGCTAGCCCAGTATTTCTACAAAAAGAATAACTTACCTGCAACTGCCATGCCCTCTCTTTGGTACAGCCTACATTCTAAGAGGTAGTGACAGTACTGTGTGACTTGTTTTGTCTGCTTAAAAGGCTTTCAGTGTTAGACAATAGTAGGGTCATCCAGATACAGTCTACAGGAAACAAGCAAACAAACAAAACAACAGAAACTGCGGCATCTGCAGCTCTGCAGTGCTGCCCCCATCAGCATGAGCCTTCAAAGCCTGGTGGACCTGCTGGTGGAGTGGAAGAGGAGATGAGATGACAGAAAGCTATTTCCTACCCCTTGGGACTTCAGGCTGAGGAGGGGCTCGCATCCTCACCTGCTGATCCTGAAGGCCTGAAGTCACAGGAGTGTTCTCTGGCTGTTTTCTCTAATAGTACTGGCAGTGAGATTCAGCCATTGTTTTCTTGCCCTCTCACCCCTCCCTACTCCCCTTTCACTGCAGTAATGGGAGGCGGTTCTCTTTCTTCTGCTTCAAAGATGAATGATAGACCCATATTCCTTTGCAAGCTTGCCTCCCTCTTAAGAGGCAGAGGAAGGCCCCATTAAGGTCATATTTTCCGTGCCTGGAATGCTGACAGCTTATTCAAGGAGAGAAGGTTATTACACTTTTGAAAGGGTAAAGAATGATTCAAGGTGACATGGTAAGTACACAATGATATATGAGAGAGTCCAAATCAGGTGACAGGAGAAATTATGAAGCGCTAGGACCATTGTCTTCAAAACCCAAATGTAGCCACCCTCCAGTTGAATCCTTTTCCACTTCTGACCCAGGGCGAAGCTGGTTCCTGCATAGCTACTTCATCACCATTAAAGGCCCTGTTCTGCCAAAGACATCTAAGGATATTTTTTCAGGATACTGGAGGCCTTGGCCTTGTATTATGGTCAGCCTTGGAAAGCCAAGGCTTTCCTTGAAAGACCTTGCTGAATAATCAAGCTCACCATTAGTTAATGCTCCCCAGGGAGATGAGCCAAGTCTGCCCTCCTCTCTCCAGTAAGAGATTGGAATATAACCTAATGAAATAGCAAGAAGGGACTGACCCCTTAGAGACTGGGGGTGACAGTGGCTGATAGGTAAATCAATTGCGCGATAGATTTATCTCTGAAATTAGAATTCAAAAGAAACTACATTTAGTCCTTTTTTTTTTTTTAAATTCTTCCATGTGTTTTTGGTTTGGTTTGTTTTTTGCCCCTCTCTGCCTCTCTGTATTATCGTCACAAGGGCCACCTTGATTGCTCCTTCACAGAAATAAATTCAAACAAGTAGTTCCTAAATCCATTGGCCCACCAAGGTCGCTTGGGGGCTTAACAAAAATTCTTAGGCCTACTCCTTCTCCCAACTGGATTCAGTTGTTCACAGGTAGGGTCCAGGAATATGCAGTTTCAGTAAAAGTGCTGCATTCTATTATTCTCAGACTGATTTGGGGGTGCATTGACCTAAACCGCATTTCACGATATAAACCAGCTCATATTATGCAAGATTTTAAAGTCTGGTGGGGGGGGAAAAAGAAAGCAAAGACAGAAAGGAGAATAAGGCATATGGGTGGTCCACATATGAAAATCCTCTTTGCCCACCCACTAAGTCTGGATGGGCTCTTTCCTTCAGACTGTGCTGCACTCACTACTGCTCGCCTGGCTGAGGGCTCCTAAAAGTGATGAAATCCATAGCACCATTTGTGGTTCCTTTTCTCCAGTGCAGTTGCTTATGTGACCAGTTCTTTCTCTTACTCCTGGTCTGCATCCTTCCAGCCCTTGGGAAGATGCTCAGCACTTGTCTTAGCTACTACTCCAGGAGAGACCCCAGCTGGAACTGGGAGTGCCTCTCTTCCATTCCCTCAGGCTAAGCCAGCAGCAGCTGCGTGGTTGGGGGAGGGGGCAGACTGCAGTGCTCTGTTCAGATTTCCAGCTGGAGGCCATCTTTGTCAGGGCTTTTGAAGGGCAATGCAAGACAGCCTGGTATGGAGAAGAGAACACAAAGAGACTACACACTGAAGAGCAATGGTCAGCAGCACTCAGCCCAATTCCTTCTGAAAGGAGCAAAGTCATGCTTTTTGCCTACTCTGATCCATAAAATAGATGTATGAAATGTATAACATAAAAATTCAAGGAAATCTCCTTTATCTAGAACTCAGCTCCCAACAACCTCTTACTCAGTGAACACAGCTCTGAAACAAAAAGAGGACTACATTAGGGTGCCTGCGTGGCTCAGTCAGTTGAGCATCTGACTCTTGGGGTTTCAGATTGGGTCATGATCTCATGGTTTGGGGGTTCGAGGCCTGCATTGGACTCTGCGCCGACAGTGTAGAGCCTGCTTAGAATTCTCTCTCTCTCCCTCTCACAGCCCCCCTCCCCCCTCTCTCCCTCTCTTTCCCTCTCTCTCAAAATAAATAAATAAACTTAGGAGAAAAAAGGAAAAAAAAGAAAAAGGACCTTATTAACCCACTGATGAGATAAAACGTCTAACTTAAAATCACATATTGGGAAGTTGACCCCCTCTGGGGCCCCTCACTTATTCATTCTTACTTTACATGATCCTAAAGCACTTTGTCGTTTGAATTTCAAGCCTGCTACAAGATAGAGAAGAGGGACCAATGGAGTCAGCCATCATCAAGGACAAGGAGCATTAGTTTAACTTTCAAAACAAAGAAAATCAATAAGTAACAAGTACTAATGCAACCACTGCTCTTTGGGGCCATTTAGGATAGAAATAACCCGATATCCCTCAGTTGACCTGATGTATAAAAGACATCATAGAACTATAGAAAAATACTTGATCATTATCACAACCCATAGTTGATAAGAAAGGTTGCATTATGTTTATGTCCAAATTAAGAATGGTACAAGAGGGGCGCTTGGCTGGCGTGGTTGGTAGAGCATGCAGCTCTTTTTATTTATTTATTTATTTATTTATTTATTTACTTACTTACTTACTTACTTATTCATTCATTCATTCATTCATTCATTTTTGGGAGAGTACAAGAGGGGGAGGAGCAGAGAGAGGGGGACAGAAGATCCCAAGTGGGTCCATGCTGACAGGCAACTGGCAAGATCATGACCTAAGCTCAACTGACTGAGCCACCCAGGTACTCCAGAGCATTCAGATCTTGATCTTGGGGGTGTGAGTTTGAGCCCTGCATTGGAGGTAGAGATTACCTTAAAAAATAAAATCTTTAGGGGTGCCTGGGTGCCTCAGTCGGTTGAGCATCCAGATTCGGCCCAGGTCATGATCTCACGGTACATGGGTTCAAGCCCCACGTCAGACTCTGTGCTCACAGCTGAGAGCCTGGAGCCTGCTTCTGGTTCTGTGTCTCCCTCTCTCTCTGCCCCTCCTCCACTCATGCTCTGTCTCTCTCTGTCTCTCAAAAATGAATAAATGTTAAAAAAGAAATTTTAAAAATAAATATAAAAGTAAAAACTTTAAAAAAATGGTACAAGCCACTTTAGATAGGTTTTCATTCAAAAAATTTTTTAAATCTGATGCTTTAAGGAATATGCCTTCAACTATCTAATATTAAAGTTATACATTGCTTTCCTTAGTAATCCAAGGGGTTGTAGGGAGGACACATGATTAATCTGTCCATATGATTAAAAAGGGTTATAGAGTCACATGGTATGATATTAACAATAATAAAAATCATTAACAATTATTGAGCAATTTGTATGTGACAAGTGCTGTTCTAACACCTATTATCTAATTTAATAGATAATACACTCATATAGTAATGTGAGGTCCCTTAAATTGGAATCCTAACTTGAGGATCTCGGTATACCTCAGAAAAGAATTAAACATTATAATTTTCCATACGTCGAAATGAAAGTTTGAAAGAAACTAAAATATAGAAAACTGACTGAGGTATGTTAGATATTTGTGGCAGGGCAAGAAATGCAACCCAAAGATCCTGATGATCCTTTTCCTCAAATTTCATTTCTCCTGCTACTTTGCATAATGAAGTCTTCCTTCCCTTTCTCCTTTTCCCCTTAACCGTGGTAGTATTGCTTCTCTTACCCCCAGTGCATCACTAGCAGACTTGCTTGTAGGTTAAACTCCGGAAACAACCATCAAGTAAAATTTTTGGTAAAAAGCATTTTAAGCCCTTATGATCTCTTAACACACTTTGTAATATTTCCGTCGCTTTCCTTGTAATATGTATTTTCCATACTGCTTGTCATTCCTTGCTCTGTACCCCTCAGTTAATTGAGTCTCTCCTTTGCGGTATTCCTGTCAATATTTATAGAACAGGTAGGTGGTATGAATTTTCATTCTTTCTACAGTCTCCTGATTTGGAAGTCTGCACTCCCTGATGTTATCAGCCCTGCCTTCACCACCACTTCATCCTCCCCACACGGGAAGTTACGAGGGCCCCTTACCACTTCTTGAGGTTTCTGATGTTTATCTGCATCACTCATTTCATAAAAGTTACTCTAAATTGCTGTGTTCTTTATGTCGACAAAGCTTCAACTGAATTATATGGGTTATTAGCTCACATCTTTCAGGTCCTAGAAAAAGAAGTGCTTGTGTAGCACTGTTCATTCATTTAATAGTTATTCATTGAGCATCTAGTGTGCATTGTGCTAGGATCTGGGCTTCCCTGGATGAACTAAACAGAAACAGCTCCTGTTTCCATGTAAATTACATTCTGCAGCAGTAGTTCTCTGACAGGAGTGATTTGCCTTCGAGGGGACATTTACGATGTCTAGAGGCATTGTTGGTTGGTTATCACTGCTGGGAGGGAGGGTGTGTGCTACTAACGGGTAGAGGTCAGGGATGCTGCTAAACACCCTACAATTCACAGGACAGCCCCCAACAGCAAAGAATTATCCAGCCCAAAGTGTCAACAGTGCCCAGGGTGAAAAACCATGAGAGAGAGGAAGGTGACAGAAAATAAACTAGTAAACTAATAAATGAACAAGAAATTTTCAGATAATGATAAGAGCTAAGAGCAGAGTGGCCACTTTCAAGTATGTGCTTTCTTGTAATTTGTTCTCCCACTGAAGTTGCCTTTTCTCATTTGCACAAAGCCCATGCATGGGCTAGCTACTGGCCTGGCTTGAGGTAAAATACCATGCTAGATCAGTGTGGAAAGGGTACTTCCATTAGACACAAAGGAAGACCTGTCTGAGCAGAGGGCATTTGAACTGAATCTTCGATGAAACAGAATTGGCCAGGGAAGACCTACCACAGAGCATTCCAAATAGAGGAAATAGCTAGCCTCCAGGGCCTGGGACAGCAATGAACTTAGTAAGTTCATTGGTAAGTTTAAGGAGCAAAAGAGAAGCCCAGGGTAGCTGAAACACTTTGAGCAAGGGAAATAATATAGGCCATGCTGAGGAGTTTGGCCCTTATTCTAAAGCTGTTACAGGGTTTCAAGAACGTGAGCAACAGAACCTGCTGTGTTTTGAAAAGATCATCTGAGGGCATCTGGGTGGCTCAATCAGTTAAGCATCCAACTTTGTTTGCCTCAGGTCATATTCTGATGGTTCACGAGTTCAAGGCCTGCACCAGGCTCTGCACTGACAGTGTGGAGCCTGCTTGGGATTCTCTCGGTCCCCTTCTCTCTCTGCCCCTCCCGCACTCACTCTCGCTCTCTCTCTAAATAAACAAAGAAAAGAAAATTGAAATAAAAATAAATAGTTTTAAAAAATCCTCTGGCTACTCAAGAATCAAACTTTTTAAAAAATGTTTATTCATTTTTGAGAGAGACAGTGTGAGCAGGAGAGGGAAAGAGAGGGAGACACAGGATCCGAAGCAGGCTCCAGGCTCTGAGCTATCAACACAGAGCCTGACGCGTGGCTTGAACTCACAGGCTGCGAGATCATGACCTGAACCAAAGTCAGATGCTCAACCGACTGAGCCACCCAGGCAACCCAAGAATCAAACATTTAAAGCTAGTTGTCTTCTGTGCCTGGGTTTGCACCTGAAAGAAATTGGAGCAAAGCTATTACATGAACTTAGTTTCTTTTTAAAAATATAATTTAAATCTGTCATTTGGATTAAAACAATTCCATGGAATCTTTCTGCTTCCTCCTTATGTATTGTGTAAAATGCTTTCAGTAAGGTGATTGAGTAGCAGACTTCCAGGAAACCATCAGAATGAATGGAGGCAGAGAGGACTTGCCATCCTCCCTGTGCTTTTCACAGTGGAATTTTTGGAGTCTAAGCTTCTAACCTGAAGATTTGGATTTTGGAAAAAGCATGCAACAATGGAGTTATTCAGTAGCAATCAATAAGCAAAGGAGGGATGATAAGTAAGTTAAAAAGAGTGAGAGAGAGAGAGAGGGCCACCTGGGTAGCTCAGTTGGTTAAGCATCTGACTTCAGCTTGGGTCATGATCTCAGGGCTTGTGAGTTCGAGCCCTGCATCGGGCTCTCCGCTGTCAGCACAGAGCCTGCTTTGGATGCTTTGTCCCCTCTCTCTCCGCCCTTCCCCCACTAGCACTCTCTCTCTCAAAAAGAAATAAGCATTTAAAAAAGAGAGAGAAAATATTCCTCTGGTGTTCAGTCAAGAACCATATGCCCTGCAATAGAAGTGCCCAACCCTGACCATGCATCCAAATCTCCAGGGGATGTTTATGAAAAAATGCAGTTGCTGGGACCTCCCCCCCTCCCAGAACAAATGAATCAGAATCCGGGCTGGGGGGACAGGCCTAGATTTTTAATGTGGAGTCAGGGATGAGAATCCTTACTTTGTGGAAATCTTACTGAATTTCACCTGGGTCAAATATGTTGGATGTGTCACTTTTCAGGATAGCATCGGGCAGCTGGAGAATGATCTGAGGAACACCAAGAGTGAGATGGCTCGCCACCTTCGGGAATACCAGGACTTGCTCAATGTCAAAATGGCTCTTGATATTGAGATTGCAGCTTACAGGTATTTCAAAGGGCGTGCTCACCCAACCATGTCCGGTCATCTGGGGCAATACTACCCAAATAAGTGGATAAAGTGGTTTCAGTCTCTCTGATTTCTGATGGGTGAGAGGGGATGAGGAAAGAAAGACATCACTGGCACCGTGCAGGCAAGCTGACCCCTCTGTCCTTCAACTTGTTTATATCTCAGCTCCACCTTACTAGTCCTGGAGTAACCTACCTACCTCTACTGGGATTTAAGGAGATAATGTGAGTATCCAGAGGTTGACATAAAATCCACCAGACTCTGGGACGCCTGAGTGGCTCAGTGGGTTGAACGTCTGACTTCGGCTCAGGTCATGATCTTGCAGTTGTGAGTTCAAGCTCTCTGTTGGGCTCTGTGCTGACAGCTCAGAGTCTGGAGCCTGCTTCAGATTCTGTGTGTGTGTCTCTCTCTGCCCCTCCCCTGCTTGTGCTCTGTCTCTCTCTCAAAAATAAAATAAACTTAAAAAAAATTAAAAGAAAAAATCTACCAGATTCTAACTTTTAAAAATAGGGTTTATACAACATAGAACATCCTAATATGTGAGGTCTCCCCCTGGATTTCTACTCAAGCAATGTTCAAGTGAACATTACCTTTAAAAGTAACAGCAGCTACTATTTTTTGAATGACTACTATGTGCACTATATTAGATACTGTATTTAAATTATCTAGGTATCCATCATATTATTTCCATTTTGCAGATGAGGAAACTTGAACCACAAACTGACTATGCAACTTATTCTTTTTTTTTTTTTTATATATATATATATATATATATTTTTTTTATTTCTATGAGAGAGAGAGACAGCGTGAGCAGGGGAGGGTCAGAGAGAGAGGGAGTCACAGACTGAAACAGGCTCCAGGCTCTGAGCTGGCAGTCAGCACAGAGCCCGATGCGGGGCTCGAACCCACAAACCGCGAGATCATGACCTAAGCGAAAGTCGGACGCTTAACCGACTAAGCCACCCAGGCGCCCCACTATGCAACTTATTCTAAGTCATAGTACTGGTAAATGAAAGAGTTAAGCTTCACCTAAATATGAGAGATTTTTCTTTTTTCTTTTACACTATGTATACTACTTTAAAACAAAACTCCAAGAGTATGTGATAGTGTTTTGAGCTTCTTTTTTTTAAGTTTATTTATTTATTTTGAGAGAGACAGAGACAGCACAAGTAGGGGAGGGAGGGAGAGAGAGAGAGAGAGAGAGGGAGAGAATCCGAAGCAGGCTCTGCACTGTCCACATGGAGCCCAACACGGGGGTTGAAACCATGAAGCCGTGAGATCATGACCTAAGCCAAAACCAAGAGTCAGATGCTTAACCCACTGAGCCACCCAGGTGCCCTTGAATTTCTAATTTTAAAGAAAAGGTGGTAAAAATTATTAGAGTTATAAGAAACAAGGTATTGGGGCCATACTTACAATGCTGGTTAGGCGAGGCTGAGAAAAAGTCTGGTATCTGAAACAGTTTCATTCACTGGTTTTTGTGTTGCTGGTTCCATTCCCTTTGTTCTCCTATACATTGAAAAATACAAATCCCAAGTTCAGACTGAATTAGGCGGTTCCTTCCTCCTTTGTGGACTTCTCGCCTTCATATCCTTATTGCACTTAAGGTTTTAATTAGCAAAATTACTTCTCCCTAGAGCTTCATAGACTCTTAAATGCCAAAAATGAGTGTGATGAAGCCAAGGGGAATTGTATAAAAATTTCCTTTTGAACTTATTTGTGAATAGGATAGGTTTCCCTTTGACAGTGCTTTAAACAGCTGGTGCCAAACATGTGTGAGTGTGTGTGAGTGTGTGTACTTGGGCGTGTGTATGCATGTGCTGGGGCCTTAAAATTCAATATTTATTGGTTTCAAGCTCATGAATAAACTGAAGAGTCCTATGGAATCTTTATAAAATGAATAGGAGCTGGAGGGTTAAGTTCTTTAAAAAAAAAAAAAAAAGTTGCAAGTTCACTTCCTAAGAATGTTTCTCTGTTGGATTTACAGGAAACTGCTGGAAGGTGAAGAGACACGTTTTAGCACCGGTGGATTGAGCATTTCAGGGCTGAATCCACCTCCCAATCCAGGTTATCTGCTCCCACCTAGAATCCTCAGTTCTACAACCTCCAAAGTCTCATCCACTGGGCTGTCTCTTAAGAAAGAGGAGGAGGAGGAGGAAGAGGCTTCTAAGGTGGCCTCTAAGAAAACCTCCCAGATAGGGGAAAGTTTTGAAGAAATATTGGAGGAGACGGTCATATCTACTAAGAAAACCGAGAAATCAAATATAGAAGAAAGTACCACTTCAAGCCAAAAAATATAATTCTGATGCTTAAAAGAAGTTAATGCTTAGGAGGGGATAATATGCATTTGACTTGTTAAAGAGCCTATTCCTGAACCAAAACACCTGTCACCACTACAAAATGTCTTCAAGGCTTCAGTCTCCTATTTAGCATTGAGTCCTCACTTTCTCTAATAACAAAAGCACCCCTTAGGTTGGAGCAAACTGCAGTCCTAGCACAATCACAGACGAGTTATCTAAGAATTCCGCTTTCTCACCTAAAGCTCAGGCTTCACAGCATTAGATGATTCAGGTACAGAGGAAGTACAAATTAAGGTGCTAAATCTGTGATCGTCGTCATTTGCTGTGAATTGAAATTAAAACTTATATTTGCTCAGTATACCCAGACAACACCCTGCTATATAGTCTCACTCTAGGTACGTAAAACATAAGATCACTGCCAAAGATACACCAATGGTCCACATCCAACACCACTCTGACAAAACTGCTTCACAAGTGATAGGTGGTTGTTTAATGGACACTTCCTCCCACCTCTCACAATTCCTTGTATCCTTTTCTTCCATTCAGGAAAAAAGAAAAAAAAAAAGGCGAGTATAGTATTCTTCCCTCTTAAACACATTTAGGTTCTTCTCAAAAGAACGTACCCCCTTTAGCTCTCTTTGTTCAATGGGTAAATTAGATGCATGTTGACCATTCATGGAATGACTTCTTCCTGCCCATTTCATGCCCTTCCAATTCTAGAAGGAAAACAAAGAAAAAGCCGTGATAAGTTTTAAGGGTTGCCCCAACAAATACAATAATGAAAAGAGTCCCTAGATTTTAGGCTTTCAGCTTATTCAAATCCATTTAATTAGGGGGAAAAAAGGTACTTTATTAAGAATGTAGCTGTTCACTTTAACTTTAGAAACACATTTATAGTGCCCCAAGCTGTGATTAAGCTGACCTTAGATTTAGTAGTATACGCTAGAAGAGGTGAGTATTTGTGTGGATGGGAAAAGCCAAGGTCTCATTGATCTGTGTCAGTTCATTTGTGGTGATCTAGAATTAGCTGTTTCGTGCCCTTACCCTTAGAGCCCACTTATCCCCCTTGCCACAGTCTAGGTCCGAAAAAGGGCTTGCTTTTACTCTCCTATGCCTTTTAAGAGTGCTAAGTGTAATTAAGTTAATCCCCAGAACACAGTGCTACTGCCCAAAAGTAAAAGAAATCACCTCTGGTCAATCAACACCACCAGCAAGCATAAAAAATAAATCTTTCTCTTGTCTAATAAAAGAGTCCTGCCCAACAGTTTTCCCATTGCTGCGTGGTTGGTGAGGTCTCCCTTCCCTACTGGAGAGGCAGTGATGCCTATACTAGAGAAGGGGTACATATGCTCCTACTCATGTGCTAGGAAGTACATTCTGGAGAGTCAGCTTTTCATCTGCCCAACTGTGTAGCAGCCGCATTGCCCCATCTCCCACATACATGTGCCAAGTTTGATGTCAGGCTAATTCTCTGTCTGCAGTCACTTCCACCAGACCTTAAGAGTTGCCAGGTCTCTGTCACACACCTCCATTCACAGCAGAAAGGACGTGATGCTTTTACTAAACTTTCTTATCCTAGTACCTGCTTCAGGGGCTCAAGGAACTGGAAAGATACTTTCTCTTCTTCCTTTCCCTCACTCCATCCCTCTCTTTACTTCTCATACTTCCTGTAAAACATTAGTAAGATAAGAATTAAAAGTCACACGAATCCCACCAATATAATTTGTGTTCTGTGGTTTTTGCTGTTTCAGAAGCACTGTTTTGGTTCAATGAGACAGCTGTGCCCCCAAATAATTTAGAAATTATTTTTCCTCTGTTCCTTACATCTACATCTAGGTGGGTTTTTTTTAATGTTTTATTTATTTCTGAGAGAGAGAGGCAGTGTGAGCAGGGAAGGGTCAGAGAGAGAGGGAGATAAAGAATCTGAAACAGGCTCCAGGCTCAGAGGTGGCAGTCAGCACAGAGCCCGACATGGGGCTCGAACCCACAAACTGTGAGATCATGACCTGAGCCAAAGTCAGATGCTTAACCAACTGAGCCACCCAGGCGCCCCTACATTTAGGTTTTTTTACCCCCTGCCAAAGCCTCGGGGCTATATAGTCTGCATGTGTTTCACACTGTCTGAAACACATAATGTACTAAATGGACAGTTTATGGCAGGGAGAAGAAAAATCAAATCAAATGATGCAAGACCAAAGATTCTGTGCCTGGATAATGATTTAACTAGCTTAACTTGAGCATTTCTGAGAATGCACTGGCAGAACGCATATGATAAAAGGTAGTTCAGAACAATTAGTATCTTTTCTTTTTTTGAAAATGAGGTTATACTTCTGTAGAACCCATATGTTTAGGTAGAACATAGGCATCAGTAGTAGAAGTTTCCTCTACTGTAATGATTGCTAACCTTTGATGGATTACAGACCCCTTGGAGGAAGCTATGGACCCTTTTCCCAGAAAAACACACAAAACTTTGTCCATATCAAGGGGCTTGGAGTTCCTCATTGGACTATCTACTTCTGGTCTCCAGAAGTCCAGGGACCCCAAGTTGAGATTCCCTAATACAATGTCACGTTCCAGGATGGAGACTGTAAATGAGGGGATATGGATGCAGCTCCCACTGATACTGGTAGTGAAACTGGAGCTTGCTGAATCTTGAACAATCTTGTCCTCCGTCCATCAGGCTAAGAGCATTTGCATGCCATGCAAGGATACGTCGATGGTACCGCTTGGGAAGAGATGTTCATCCTGCACTAACAATGAGTGCTTTATAGTAATCAAACATCTTTTAGGGCCTATTAAGGAAAAATAATAGTCTCATCAGTACATGGGTTTTCAATATAGATATTGGTTGCCACTTCTAAGAATTCTGCATATTTGGTTAATGGATCTGTCTGAAAAACCACCATCCTTTTATTACACTTATATAATCTCTAGCTCTAATTTGTATCTCCTGTTTTCAGTGAGTTGCCACTAATTGCCATGAGCTCAGTTATAAAGACATTAAGTACCTGGAGTTGATAAATTTTTAAATCAGGACAGTCACAGTAACAAGGAAACAGTGTTCAGAATCAAAAGGCAGGGAGGAGGAGAGGAGGAAGCAAGCAATATCAACTATTAGAACAGGACAACAAAGAGTCTGTGAGGCTGTGGGGAAGCTGTCCACAAAGCACACTGGTGATAACCAAAATGACTTTCAGATTGATTAGACAATGAGATCCCCTGCCTCCTGAGACTAATAACAGTTTTAACTTATTCAGTACCTACTTACTATGTGTCAGACACTGTTCTAGGCAGTAAACAGAATTGTCTCACTTAAACCTCACAACCACTCTTGAGATAGTATTTGTGTGCCCATTTTACAAATGAAGAAATAGAGCCTTGGAATGCTAAGGTTAAAACCCATATCTAAAGTCACAGAGTTAGGTTAGGGAGCTGTGATGTGAGCCTTGAGCTTTTTATTATTATTATTATTATTTTTAACATTCATTTTTAAGAGATGGAGACAGAGCACAAGTTGGGGAGGGGAAGAGAGAGAGGGAGACACAGAATCTTAAACAGGTTCCAGGCTCTGAGCTGTCAGCACAGAGGCCGATGTGGGGTTTGAACCCATGAACCACAGGATCATGACCTGAGCTGAAGTCAGACATTTAGATGACTGAGCCACTAAGGCATCCCTGAGTCTTGATCTTCTGGCTGCAGTGCTTTTCTTTCCTATATTGCCTCTCTACCTAAAAGAAAGTCCTCCCACTTGAGGGAATAGGAATTCTTATTTTTATCATCTTTTTCACCCCTTCTTCACCAGGTTTTACTTAAGGTTTTTCTGCCCCAGAAACCATTGGCAACACCAAGTCCCATAGGCAAACTGCTTTGCAGACTTACTTTCCTGCATTGCAGTGAGGTCATGGCAGCTCAAAACTGGGTTCTGAGTCCATTTAACTGAGTCACCTCCTACTAAAAACAAAATAGAATTGGATGCAATTACCTAATTTTTGAAAAGGAGTTTTAAAATGTAATTTTGCAAAGGAACTCTGTAGCTCAGTATCAAAGGACCTGGAAATGAAGGGATATTACAGCAGGGACAATTCCTCAAGAGGTAATAAATCCAGGATACTTAGTATTCATTTAATGCACTAGCTAAAGAAGATGGCAAGATGTGAGCTGTTGTCTGGAAACTAGAGTCCAAATTTTAGCTCCAGACACAACACAAGTCACCTATAGTCCTGCAGATAAACTTCTAGAACTTACTTGTGAACACAAGCAGGGAGTCCAGAACCACCATTCATGACTCTAAAGGCAAATATGAAATAGTTTCTAGAACATAGTAAAAAATTCATTGTGGGGCACCTGGGTAGCTCAGTTGGCTGAACGTCCCACTTTGGCTCAGGTCATGATCTCCCAATGGACGAGTTCAAGTTCCGTGTCACGCTCTGTGCTGACAGCTTATAGTCTAGAGCCTACTTCAGATTCTGTCTCCCTCTCTCTCTGCCCCTCCCCTGTTGGTGCTCTGTCTCTTCCTCTCTCATAAATAAACATTGGGACACCTGGGTGCTTAGTCAATTAAGCATCCAACTTCGGCTCAGGTCATGATCTCGGGGTTCATGAGTTCAAGCTCTGCATTGGGCTCTGTGCTGACAGCTCAGAGCATGGAGCCTGCTTCAGATTCTGTGTCTCCCTCTCTCTGCCCCTCCCCCGCTCGCACTCTGTCTCTCTCAAAATTAAGTAAATATTTTTAAAAATTTTTTAAAAATGGAGTGCCTGGGTGGCTCAGTCGGTTAAGCATCCGACTTTGGCTCAGGTCATGATCTTGTAGGTTTGTGAGTTCAAGCCCTGCATCAAGCTCTGTGCTGACAGCTCAGAGCCTGGAGCCTGCTTCAGATTCTGTGTCTCCCTCTCTCTCTCTGCTCCTCTCCTGCTCACACTCTGTCTCTCTCACTCTCTCTCTCTCAAAAATAAAAACATTTAAAAAATTTTAAAAATCATTGGGACAGAAAACAGATTGGTAATTGCCAGGGCTAAAGAGAGGGGGCAGTAAGGGGTAACTATTCAGTGGGTATGGGGTTTTATTTTGGACTTATGGAAATGTTTTGGAACTAAATGGAGGTGGTAGCTGCACAGCATTGTGACAATACTAAATGCCACTGAACTGTGCGCTTTAAAATGATTAATTTTATATCACATAAATTTCACCTCAATTTAAAAAAAATCCACTGATAGAGAATTTATGGAACTATCAGAAAAAATATAATTACAAAGTCTTCTGCTCCAGCTGAGACCACTACGTACAGCCACCCTGGGTCAATCTCAGATGGAAGAAATTCCATTAGGATAATATGAGCCAGATCTAATAAGAATATTGATTTTGAAACAGAACCTGGAGAAAAAGCCAGAAATACTCCTGATGTAAACAAAAGAAAGAATAGCTAGAAATATTGCTTGCTTATGAGTATCCATCACTGATCTCCAACTGATATTAGTTTTATTATTATATCATCAGAAATCTTCAAAGTCCTTAAAAGCATCTAATTCATAAGAATACATTTCCCCCCTTAGAACCAAATAAACTGGTGTGCCTAAAAGCCCAGTAACTTAAAGTGGAAATAACTTGAGGGGGGGGCTTTGTAGGATCTTAAAACAGAACTCATATGTGAAATTTATTTTTCTTTATAGAACATACACTACTGGCTTTGCTGCCATGTTCAACTTTAATGTACATTTTAGATTTAAGCCAATCATGACTTTGCTATTTTCAAATATCTCATATGGATATGCCATTTGCAAAAGGGGTAAATGCTCCCGAATCCAGTCAGACAAAGAATTGTTTTATTAAATTACTATCCCCTGCAGCAAATCCTCAATAGATGAGAAGAATGGTTACTATGTAGATCAAATGGCTTCTCTCCTCCTCTATTGATCTCTTAGATGATTTGATTGTGCTCATGTTTTATGCTGATATTTCACAAGCTTACTTGGTGGGGGTGGTGACTAGCTAAAATTTATAAATTCTTGCTTACAATCCCTTGAAACACACAGAAATACAGACACATAGCCCAGGATTATAATAAGATACAGTGAGTCACACTGCAGATATTTAAAGATTTGTTCCTATAGTTCTTTAGTGACTCTGAATGAGATAAAATAGAGAAAGTTCAGGGTACAAAGAAAAATGAATATTGATCTTGGAGGGGTCTCCAAGGCTCCCTTCCTCATTGATTAATTACCATCAATCACCACATGGCCACTCTCTCCCCCAGTGAGGCAATTGGTCTCTGTGGTGTGTAAGTCTGAGACATTTCATTCTAGCGCTATTGTATGCTTTAATAATAGGGTACAGATGTTAGCAGAGGGTAGCCAAAATCATTAGCATAAAGGCTGGAGTTCTGGAATATGATCAGTAACAGGTCTAGTTAATTGCTGATTACTGTGCAGGGCAAAAAAGGTATTTTTCCTTAGAAGTGCTTATTATACATTTCTCTTAAGTAATTTCTGTGCCCAACATGGTGCTCAGACTCAAGACTCCAAGATCAAGAGTTGAATGCTCTACCAACTGAGCAAGCCAGGTGCCTCTAGAGGTGCTGACTAAAACAAACTTAAGGGGCTCTTGGCTGGCTTAGTCAGAGCTTGTGACTCCCAGTCTCAGGATCATGAGTTCAAGCTCCACGTTGAGCATGGAGCTTATCTAAAAAAAAAAATTAACTCACTTAGGTTCACTTGTTATGC